TATCTCCTAATATTCAGCCCATCCAAAGAATGGGCTGTTCGCCCTCAACGAAGTGGTGGCATGAGCATATGGTGATCCATTACAACCATTTCATAGTTTTGATATTGGACCGTAGTGTACTGAACCTCTTTAAGTGTATTTCTTGAACTTTCAGCCCTGGACACGCTGATTACTATGTTGGAGCTTATCCGTGACTCGCTATTTTGGGCCTTAAATTTCGCCCTTCGCGTGTAACTTTATCTGAAGACTGTCCGCCTATCCATCAACAGATGGGCAAATGCCATGTGGGGCATTTGCCCATTTTCATAGTCTAGGACTTACTTAACTCTAACTCCACCTTGGAGCCTCTAACAAATTTATATGTAACTTTCCGAATAGAGTATGGCAAGGACCTCATTCTTCCAACAAAGGACTCCACTCCAAAGTCTAATTCAACGGTGGTTAATACGGAGGCCATCGCTGCAAGTTTAAAAAATGCAAATTCTATTGCACCAAAGTCAACGCACAATATTCCGGTGGACAAATCCAAAACGGGCAATATCACTTTGGAAGAAGATTTCCCATGCGCTCCCCAAGACCTCTTCAACTTTTTCACGTCAGAAGAGGTACGCTAAAATTACCGGTGTACATGCATGCTCATGCCTATAGGAATTATTTAGCTTTGGTGTAAACAAATCCCATTTCAGTTCAGTCGCTCCCCCATTTCTTACCAACCTGCTGCCTCGTTTCCGCCAAACTCTGCTCTCATGGACAACGCTACTGTTTTAAACCTCCACGAGATTAGTGCAAAGAGTAACAATACTTGGATTAAGGGTAAAGGCTTTGTCCTTATTCACCTAAATGTAATGATTACCGACGTACCATCCGTTACAGAAAACATGCATTCACAGTTTTAGCTTTTCATTTACTCGATATTTAATTGAGTTTGTTGGTATATTTTTCGAATTAAAAGAAACAGGCATTTTCACTATTTTACTTACCGTAACATATTTGCATCTTAAAAACACCAAATAGTTTCAGGTGTGTCTTCTTACAGACTCAAATGCCTAATCAGTACGCTTGTTTCTGGATTAAAAAAAAAAACTGCAAGATGCCGAGGGTCGTCCTAAGCCCTATACCCCAAAATCTACATTTGTATAATTATTCAGTGAATGAGAAGGTCGCAACTGACAAACCCGATCTAATTCGGCCGTGTTACCACCAAAGACTAAAAAGGCCGTCTTTTTGCGGTAATCACTAAGCCATAGCCAACTCCAGGTGGAGACGTGAATCCGAGTTTGACAATCATAGAACCCTCCACTTCAGAGGCGGCTCTGTGTCCTGCCAATAAGAGATATTTAGTCCCATGGGAGGGACATCCACCGACATCGCAGAACAGAAGTGAACATACCCTTTTCTATATTGGGTCTCCGGGGTCTAGTTCTAGTATTTGAATAAATCAAAAACTCGACAACTTACCAACTGAATCGGGAACAGATTATCTAGTTCGTAGTATGCCCTTTGGTGGCAAAGAAGCTAGAGATGACTGTTTCAGTCTTGTCTTATTCGGTTGCATTAGTAGTCTAGCGATCTCTGTGCAACAGCTAGGGCAGAAACAAAATCATATTCCAAATATATCTGCGCGTGTCACCTCCATGTAAACTGACAACTTTCAAGGTTTTAACAAATTCATAATTTTCTCAGTCGCACAACCTGTGTTATACTTGGAAAATGAGGACACCTTCAGGGAACCTAAGCTTGTGGTGTTTGTTAATCGTTAAATGTTCTATTAATATTTCGTTCCAGAAGCTGCTTAATGTGATTTTAAAGTTCTCAAAAGACTCCGACGACCGAAATCACATACATTTTCTTTTTTTCGTATGCCCGTCAGTTCATTTTGATGTGAAAAGCACAAGCGGCTTTTTTCCCTAACATCAATGAGAGCTTTCCTACCACGAGCTTTCTGAGAATATAGTTCGGTTTCAACATTAATTGTAAGGGTCTTCGGAAAAGGTATACCAATGTGTATTATGACCAGCCAATTACAGTCACATG